CTTCAGGTGTATCTCTGCCAGAAAAGATTTGGGATCTGTGGCAAACTCCAAGGCTTCCTGATTGCCTTTGGCCTCCTCTGCTGGTCTCCAACCCCAACAGAGTGACTATTTGCTTGCTCAGTGCAAGTTTATCCTGGAAGCCCTCATCGATACTCAGCCACATTCGTCACTTGAGTCTCTGCAGATCCTCTGCCAGTTCAGGTGGGGTTTCTTGCTTTCTCCCTTTTCACCCAGTTCTGAGCTCTGTTTGGGCCAGCTCAAAGGGATGCCTGGCTCTAAGCCACACATCAAGAGCTGGTATCAGATCTGGATCACTGAGTCTCTTTTTTTATGGGGATAAGTTTGGCAGCAATTGGTCCACTCAAGCTGACTGCAAAAACCTCTCCTCCCTGCTGGTTTTCCCAGCCATTCATTGCACTGGGATTCTAAAACAAGCCAGGGGAGCCTCCTGGGGAGATTTCACTTGAGGGAATGGTCTCTGAGCTCATGTGGGAAGAACAGTTCTGCATGTCCTGTACCAGCACGAACCACTTACTGCAGATGTCAGATCCTGCCCATCTCCACCTCCTAGGACTCTTCCTGGCTGGGACTCATGCAAATCTTCCATGAAAACCTCCAAAGCAATCTTTAGCACTTCTGATGAGGTCTCCATTGCTTTCTCTACAGCTCCTCTCCATTCCTGGGGCTCCTCTGGATCTTTTTTTGCAAATATTCCCATTGTATGTCTTAATTTCTTTCCCCAACTGTATCAGCTTACAGAGGGCTCCCTCCAGTTGTGCATACACTTAGCCAAACTCAAACTGTTAGAAGGAAACATTAACAATTGGTTCAGATATTTCTTTCTCATAATCTTAGTTGTTTACTGGAAAGTGCGCATAGGATCCTGCAAATGTTGAGCATCAAATCACAAAGAAAACTCACTGTACTGACAACCTCCAGCTTTTTCTGAGCCACTGCTCTTCCCAAAAAGTTCTCTTTTGAGGAATTCTGCCATCCTGTTCCAGCCTAACAAATGCCAGAGCACGCAGTTGCCTCTTCATGCTGCTGATACTCCAGTGAATGTAGTAGGCGACTGCAACAAGTGAAGAGTCACAACAAAAATGACACCATTCACAAAACAGATCTTTACAAGATACCACTTTTTGAAGAAAACCTGTATTAGTGAAAGGACAGGGCAACAGGAGATGAGACAGATGAGTGTGCACTGTGTGCATCAGTAAGAACACACTGTAGGTTCAGGATATGCTACAGCAAACTAAAATACCACATGGCTGACCTGGTCAGCTATGCTAGGCCTGCTCTGTACTGAGCCTAAGCCAAGGGGATCAAAGAAATTTGCACATTCTCTTTTTTTTTTTTTAAGTGTAAGTGTGGTACAGCCTGTTCCATAAAGTTGGGCATAGATCATGGAGATGTCCTCTCTGGAGGAATGAACTCTTCACATTTCTTGGTTATTGTTCCAATGATTTTTCTTTTTCCAATTAGCTAAAAAAAACAACAAACATCATAGATGAAAGCCACTGTGCTGCAATCAGTACTGCAAGTGAATTCTAGTAATTCACAGTGAACTACCTTACAAGACAGAAGTAGCAAGTCCTTGTCCATTTAAGCAAAGGAAATTCCTGATTAAACTTGTAAGAAACCAGGCTATTGCTAAGGATGTGCACAGTTTGTGTACACAGAAAAGCCAGCTGCTACCTTAAAACACCCCCAAAATTCCCAAGAAGGGTTAGCATTCACAGATACCTCGTAGATAAAGCATTCAAAGATCTAGGGCACTGATCTGTCCCTTATTCTTTAGGATTCATACTTAATTTTGTTACAGACAGCATCACAGTGTTGGTGGGAAAAGGCCTCTTAGGGACCTGCTCACCTGGAGGTGCCCTGGTCCCCCCTCCTGGCAAGGAGGATGAAATCAAGGAGGACCAAGCAGCCAGTGGTTTCATACAGTCACATCCTCAGGTGCTGGCAACAGCAGACATCTCACCCTGGCAAATGGCAGGCTCATCCCCTGGGCCCTTAGAATGTCTCAGGGGATAAAAGCCAGTGGCTTTGCCCAAAGAGTCCTTGTCCTTCTCGAGCACTCTCAGAAGCTAAGGAGGACAAGGAGCATGGCACCTCCTGTTCATGCAGGGGGAGAGAGCAGCCTCACATCTCCTGAGGGCACCCACGGGTGCCTTCTGACCAGGTGAAGGGTAACCATAGGCTGATCCATTAACACGGGGGCTACTAGTCACAGGACTGGGATGTTCAAGAGGCCACAACAGCAGTAGGAGATGGATCAGCGGATCCCACAAGACCCTCACGTCAGCCAATGTCTGCAGGGACATGGAGGGAATCCAGTCTCTTTCTGGGTTACTTTGCCCTCTGAATTTGTCTCCTCTGGGGCAGGATGCCCTGTGCACAAGGACCACACGTTGGTCAGAACCAGGGCAGAGCCCACCATCCACACAGCCCAGGACTGCAGCTCACAGCAGGTCTGTGACCCTGTGCATGCGTGGTGACGTGGTGTCAAGCTCAAGAACAGCCCATGGGTCACGACCACAAGTAGCACCATGAGCCGTGCTGCCCCATCCTCCAGCACCCCTGGCAGAGAAGCAGGGCTGAAGGGTTCCTGATGCTCCTGGGAAGACAGTGTGGTGTGGCAGGCAAGAAAGGCCCCAGCAAGCTGGCCCTGCAGCTGGCCCTGGAGAGCATTGCTTGCTGTGCCCAGCCATCAGCGCTGCCCAACACATGCCACGCTCGCTCTGTGTCTCCCATTCAGCAGCCCCTGCAGTGCTGCTAAATGCAGAGTGTCTTTCCAGGCCTGCTCCTTGCCAGCAGGCTCTGTGTGAGGCCAGCACAGTTTGCTCGCATAAGACAACAGAAAGTGATTTTTACACTTGACAACAATGAAGTGTTCTTGCATATAACAACAAATATGTGCTTGCCAAACTGATGCCTGTTGGAGAAGCCCTTAAATCCATCAGCTGCCTCCCACCCCATCCCAAGGGGGGCATGTGATGATCTGCCCGTGTTCTGGTCCTGCCCGGCAGGGGACGTTCTGGGTGAGATGTTCATGCCCTGTGGGACAGCGGCCATCCCAAACCACAGGGGGGAATGCAAGCCAACAGATGTTGTTATGGCTTGATGGTGGAGAGGAAGACGGGGAGGGCTGAGAGGAGGAGAGGTGGGCAAGGTCTGCATGAGGAGCCCCAGCTCCAGCGAAGGCCATGTCGTCAGGGTGAAGCTGAGCCTGGCATCCGACCACCTCACACCAAGGGCACTGCACAGGGACAGGCAGGGGCCAGCCCAAGCTGCACTGTCATGACTGGGCATTGCCAATGACATCACACAGGCTTTCCAAGAACGTTTGGAATATCTGATTTCTTTCCCATTCCAGTAGTGCCGTAGAGCCAAGATCCATTGGACCAGCCTCAGCCTAGTTTGCTGCACTTCTCGCCATGCCACGGCGCTGGGAATATTGCTGGAAAACTGATTTGGCTGGATTTTATCATAACTGCCAGTCTGGAAATTGCAGGTACATTTTGTAATGTCCCTCAGGGCCAGAGGTGATTCCCACCTTACAGGAGACACAACCCAAGCAATGCTGAAAGATAGCCTGGCATTGCCAGAAGCCCATCTAGAACAGAAGCTGCACCTGATCTATGGGCCTGTCCAAGTAATTGCAAAAGAAAAACCAACAAAAAAAGACCCAAGCATAAATAATAAAACCCAGAAACTGCACATCAGGAATTTCAGACTGAACAAATCAAACAGCATCACTTATCGCTTTTTTAAAGGTGTATCTTTCCTGGTCTTTAACTGGAAAAACACCACTGATAAACCACTTGCATTCAAACAGAGCCACCTGGTTTTGATTATGATACATTCAGTGAAATGATGATGGTAACAATGATTATTTTTCCAAAACAGATTTTTCCCTGTGTAAAACACCCATTTCAGTGAAACCCTCTTGTTCAGTGCCTGCTGTGAGGAGCTGTGGAGGTGGCTGATGACCAAACCCTGGGGCCTTGGCTAGGCAGCCTCTCCTACCAGGCACACTGTCACACTGCCACATGTTGGCTTTCCTACTGGGGCCAGCCCCAGCTTCGCCCCATGCATGGCAGCAGCAGCACATGGTGCTCTGTTAGCGGATATGGATTCCCCCTCCGCCCGCACAGTGCTCACCCTGGCTATGGCTAAGAGCAGTCAGGCAAATATCCACAGGTCACATTTATAAATTTAGAATATATTTATAGTGTGATCATATATTGCGTTTTTTTTTAAGTTTATGATTACATTTAAAATATAATTTCTGCACTCAGCCAGAGATGGACTTCAGCGGGACACAGAGATGCTTCAGCTGGACTCAGTACAGCAAAGTGTGAGTTTGCCATCCCTGCCATGATACCAACAGCACAGGAACACACGGCCCAGGGCATCATGTGGGTGTGCATACAGTATACGCCCCACTCCTAAATGTCTGGCCTATAAATGCCAGAATCTTCCCGTACGGAACTAAAAACATTTATTCTGGAAGAGCCCAGAGACTCATGGCTAAAGGCAATAAATACAGATTTAATTTCATAGCTAATGCCCTGTCCAGGGTAAAACACTCATTTTTAATATCGTTGCCTGCGACCTGACATTACCAACAAGATGTCGCAATACAATATCTGAGTCACTGCGCGGGAGATAATGGTATTTTCTTGAGTTCAATCTGGAGGAGAGCTGGACCCATTAATCAGACTTGAAAAAGCGATGCCAGAGAGTCTGCCAGAGAGTCTGTCTGGCCTTCTCCAAGCACGTTACGTGACCCAGGGCTGCAGGGAGAGGGGGGAGAGCGTGAGTAGACCTGGATGTTACAGTGGGAGCTCTGCTGGCCTACGGGCACTGCCTTCTTGGGGTCAGCCAAGAGACTCCTGAGTTTGGGGTGCAGCCACAAGGGAGCAGCCACATCCCTCCAGCTCTGCCTTTGCTTTCATGCTGCCCCACTGTATAACCCTCAGCATGGCCAGATGGGGAGTTCTGGTGGCATGGAGGAACTGGTGAATGTGAAAGGTCAGCAGGCTGAGAGTCCCATGGCTGAATGTACCAGGGGCCAACCACAGAATGCAACAACATTTGGTGGAGGGACTGAGACAGCAATGTCCATTGTGGACAGGTCAATAAACATTCCTAGGCAGGGACGTGGGGAAGGAAAATCATGAGGAAACATCCCATGGAAGGAATACTGCCATTAAGAGCACGATCAGGTCTTGTATGTCTTCACAAGGGAGAAAACTGAGCAAGAGATGGATAGGGACAGGAAGGGAAACCTGCCCGGGCTGCCTTGAGCTCTGGGAGTGCTAATGGAGCTCAAGAGGACTGGAGAAAACCAGAAGCTCTCCTGGGAATGACGGGCTTTCTTTTCTGCAGGCAGGCAGCAGTGGCTCCAGTCATCCTGCAGCACCAGTGTGGGAGGCAGACCTCTCTGGCAGAGAGCTCTTGGCAAAAACAGGATCTGTGCAGAAATATGCAATGCACTTTTAACACTGAGCACTATTGGTCCATTGGACCAACTTGCCTAGGATGCAGAAGATTTGCTTTCAGCCGAAAGGCTTTAATTCAAGATTGGGTATCTCACTGTAAAATAAATGTTTTTTCTTGACTGGAATTTACAGAGGGATGCAGCAATCAGCAAATGAAAGTCCCTGGCCTGCTGTGCAGATGTCAGAGTAGATGATTCTTTCTGCTATGAAAGCCAATAAATGGCTCTGCAGAAAGTCAAGGCGTGAATGAAAATTGACTCATAAGAATGAGATAGATCAACTCCTGTAACTGTACCTCCAGAGGCAGTGTGCCATTTCTGGGAAGAGCAGAGGCTGCAAGACAGAGCTCAGAACACCCTGGGATCTAAGTCAGAGGAGGGATGAAGGAAAGCACCATGTTTGTCAAGGCTCCATACAACCCAACAGCCTTGAAGGGGAGGTACAGAGATAGAGACTGTGTTGAAACCTCATTACTTGTTGATTACCTGATTACCTGGCTGGTACCCTAGTAGTGGGCATGACCTCAGACTGTAGAGTTGTGCAGAGAGACCCAGTTCTACAGTCTGAATGGCCAGCTGCAATTTATGTAGAGTTATCCCCAGCACCATAATTAAGAGAAGATGAGAGTCCACAGACCACAGTCTGAGCCCTGCACATGTTTCAGTAAAAAGCAAGAGATTGAGGATGGACGCCCATTTGCAGATAATTCCACAGGACACATCGGTGACTCGCCATCACCCAGACACTCTTCTGCTCCCTGAGCTGAGTGATGCACTAGATATGGCAGAAGGAAGGGATGCCATCCAGAGGGACTTGATAAACTCAAAATGTGGGCCCTTGTGAACCTAATGTTCAACAAGGCAAAGTGCAAGGTTCTGCACTTGAGTCGTGGTAATTGCAGTAAACAGACTGGGGAAGCACTCCTTGAGAGCAGACCCGCTGAGAAGGACTTGGGGGTCCTGGTAGATGAAAAACTTAACATGGGCCAGCAGCGTGCACCTGCAGCCTGGAAGGTCAGGGGCTACTGTGGGCTGCATCAGAAGAGGGCTGGACAGCAGGACAAGGGAGGGGATTGTCTCTCTCTACTCTGCCCTCCTGAGGCCCCAGCTGGAGTACTGCGTCCAGGTCTGGGACCCCAGCACAGAAAAGATAGTGAGCTTTTGGAGAGGGTTCAGAGAAGGGCCACGAGGATGCTCAGAGGGCTGGAGCACCCGTCCTATGAAGACAGGTTTGAAGGAACTGGGCTTGTTCAGTCTTGAGAAGGGAAGGCTGGTGGAAGACCTCACTGTGGCCTTCCAGTATTTCAAGGGAGTTTATTAACACGAGGGAAATCATTTTTTTACACTGGTAAGGAGTGATAGGACAAGGGGGAATGGCTTTAAACTTAAGAGAGATTTGGATCAGATGTCGTGGGAAACTTCTAACAGAGAGAGAGTTGAGGTGCTTGAGCAGCCTGCCCAGAGAGGCTGTGGATGCTCCAAACCTGGAGGTGTTCAAGGGGAGCTTGGATGGGGCCCTGGGCAACATGACATACTATGTGATCCACCGATCGGGAACCCTGACTGCAGTGGGGGCCGTGGAAGTTGAGCTTTGTTCCAACCCAAAACGTTCTATGATTTCAGCACCCTATGAATCTAAGATTCTGTGATCTACGGCCATCTGCCTGCCATGATTCTATGAGCTGAGCACCTCAGCAGGGACATTCTCACCATAGGCATCCTCCTCAGAATGACTGACAAGTGCTCGTTCAAAAGTTTTGTCAATGAAACGTGGTATTCTGGACACCAAATTCATTATTTCAATATGCAATGTTCATTTCCCATTAGAAAAAAAAATGAAATGAAATGAAATGAAATGAAACCCAAACCCTCCCTGTCCCCAATGTCACCTATGTGGTGCCTCAGGCTTCTGTCTGGCCTGGGGCACCAGGTGTCCAAGGACAGGGAGCGCAGCTCCCACCTGGGGGGATGCCCCAAGTGGTTCAGCTGCCACCTGGCGGTGTCCCGCAAGTTATGGGTCAGCTGCCCTCTGGGGGGGTCCGCCAGGTTGTGGGTCAGCTCCCACCTGGGGCAGTCACCCAGGTTGTGGGTCAGCTCCCACCTGGGGTGACAACCCAAGTTGTGGGTCAGCTCCCACCTGGGGGGAAGCCCCCAGCAGCGGGTAAGCGACCACGTGGGAGGAAGCCCCCAACTATGGGTCAGCTCCCACCTCAGGGGGTGCCTCCCATTGTGGTTCAGCACACTCCTGAGGGGCTGCCTACTATTTTGGGACATCTCCAACCTGGGGGGAAGCAGTTACCCCTGCTCTTGCTCCTACCCAGGGGCATGAAGCCAGGTATGCCTCCCCCCAATGCCCCTGCCCACTGCTGGGATCATCCCCCGGTGGCAGGGACGATGCAGCCCCAGCAGCCGATGGGGCTGCAGCCCGGGGCCGCGTTGCGTGGGCAGCCCCCGCAGCCCGCAGGCAGCTGCCCGCTGCAGGCTGCCAGCCAGCCCGGCCCCTCCACTGTCCTCCAAGGACCTCCGGTGCAGCAGCGGGTCCTCGTGCCCGGCACCCTGCCCACCATCTTAGAGCAGCCCAAGGAGCCGGAGGACCAGGGGCAGCCAGCACCCATCGGCGTGTGCCCCCATCCCAACGCGGCTCCGCTCAGCTGAAGCATCGCAGCGCTGGAATCAGGTGGTGAGTTTGGGGGCTGCAGAGCGGGCGGCAGGCTGGCCGCACGTGTGGCTGTGGGAAAGATGGCATTGCCTCACGTCGCATTTTCTTGCTTTCCAGCAGCGACAACCAGCGCAGACATCCCGGAGGACATCACCGACATCGGTGACCTCCTGGCTTGGATGAACAGCGGTGAGTTTGGGGGCAGCAGAGCTGGCGGGGGAGTGTTTGCACCCATTTGCTGTGGGAAAGCTGGCCTTAACCCTGTGGCGATTTTCTTCCTCTTCCAGAAGTGGCACCCAAAGAGGTCCCGGACAACATCCCGGGCACGGATGAGGACGCGGCCGAGTGCCCAGCCCCTGCCTGCACCCCCAGCGGGCACCAGCAGAGCGCTGGCAGCATCCGAGCCACCAAGAGGAAGCTGCCGCAGAGCCAGGATGCTCCAGAACAAAAGCGCTCGCGCTAGGCGAAGCTGGGTGGGCTCAGCCAACACGGGAGCATTGGCAGAAACCGGCCCACGTGGTGCAGCAGGAGACACGGCCACAGCAGGAGACACAGCCAACAAATAAGGCTACCTGTAGCCCTGGGCTCCTCGCCGGCCCTCTCACAGAGCAGCGGCAGTGCTCCGGGGGCACCGGCACCGGCCCCAGCCCAACCCCTCCAAACCTGGGCTGTCCACCAACAACACCCTGGACTGCGACAGTGTGGGACTCCATCAGATTATGTTATGTTATGTTATTTTATGTTATTGTATGTTCAATTACATTAAATTATTTAAATTATTCAATGTGTCATATTCACTTTGCTATGACGACCTGCAGTTGTTTATGCAACACCAACCTTCCCCCAGAGCCCTGTGCCGACCTGTAGGGCAGGACAGGGCAGCACACAGGGCCGTGTCCCAGGGCTGCTCCCAGCAGCCCCATCCCTCCCCTCCAATGGCCTCTCCAAAATCCTCCTCCTCCTCCGTCAGCACCACTGGGAATGTAGGGATGGTAAACAGTTGGGGTGGGATTCTGGGAGAGCTGGGTTGGCTCAGCCTGCAGGAGAGCAGGCTCGGGGGGATCCCAGGCATGGCCACCAGTCCCTGCAGGGAGGTGCAGAGAGGACGGAACCCAGAGGCACTGGGCAACACACTGGGGCACAGCTGCGATTGCAGCAAGACAAGAAGTGCAGCTCCTCCTCACTGGTGGTCTACATTACCATCACTGCTGACAGTGCCCCATCCTGGCTGCCCAGCTGTGGGCTGGTAACACCCTGCCATTGCCATCCCCTGAAGAAGAGTGCAGAGTAAGCAGATGAGGTGCCCAGAATGAGTGGCCTGGGTTGAAAAGGACAACAAGCATCATCTGGTTCCAACCCCCTGCTGTGTGCAGGTCGCCAACCAGCAGCCCAGGCTGCCCAGAGCCACATCCAGCCTGGCCTCGAATGCCTGCAGGGATGGGGCATCCACAGCCTCCTTGGGCAACCTGTTCCAGTGCCTCACCACCCTCTGGCTGAAAACTTCCTCCTCATATCCAACCTAAACCTCCCCTGTCTCAGTTTAAATCCATTCCCCCTTATGCTATCACCATTCCCCTCCTGTTCATACACCCCCTTCAAGCACTGGAAGGCCACAGGGAGGTCTCCCCGCAGCCTTCTCTTCCCCAAGCTCAACAGGCCCAGTTCCCTCAGCCTTGCCTCACACAGAGCTGCTCCAGCCCTCTGCTCATCTCAGTGCCTCCTCTGGACCCGCTGCCAGAGCTCCACGTCCTTCCTGTGCTGGGGGCCCCAGGCCTGGACGCAGCGCTGCAGACGGGGCCTCACAGGAGCCCAGCAGAGGGGGACGATCACCTCCCTCTCCTGCTGGCCGCCCCTTTTTCATGCAGCCCACAACACAGCTGGCCTTCCGGGCTGCAGGCGCTCACTGCTGCCTCATGGCCAGCTTCTCGCCCACCAGGACCCCAAGTCCTTCTGCGCAGGGCTGCTCCCAAGCACATCTTCCCCCAGTCTCTATCAATACCTGGCGTTGCCCCCACCCAATGGCAGCACCCTGCGCTTGCCCTTACTGAGCCGCTGACACTGGCTTCAGCACCCTGACACAGAGCCATGGATCACAGCCCTTGGCTGCCACCAAGACAACTCCCAGTCCATCCAACAGCCCAGCCTTCAAATCCACTCCTCTCCACGTTAGAGAGCAGGATGTGGCGAGGGACCATGTCCAAGGCCTTGCACAAGTCCACGCAATGACATGCGCTGCCCTTCCCCCGGCCACCAACGCCGTCACTCCACCATAGAAGGCCGCCACATCGCTCAGCCACCATCTGCCCTTGGCGCAGCCACGCTGGCGGTCTCCAATCACTCCTTTCTGCTGGATGTGCCTTAACACAGCTTCCAGGAGGATCTGCTCCATCATCTGCCCGGGCACAGAGCTCAGGCTCGCTGGCCTGTAGTTCCCTGGGTTTTCCTTTCTCCCTTTCTTAAAAATAGGGCTGATGTTTCCCTTTTTCCAGTCACCAGGAACTTCACAGTTTTGGACTAAATGTCTGAAACTTCAATTGCCAAAAGAGAGACGATGCTTCACAGCTCTGGACTTTAGGCAAGCCCCGCTTGACAAAACAACAACAACAACAACAAAAAAAAGCTTTTCATGAAAACATCTTTTCTAAGGAACAATTCTCATTTCCCAGTTCTGTGACCCTGAAATGCATGCCAAATGTCTCTAAGAGTCAGTGTTTTATTTTATTTAACTGAGAAGCAGAATGGCTGTAAAGTGAGTATTTTAAGTGAAGCTCTGTTCTGAAAATATATCCACTTAATGCTAAAAAGATTCGGTTTCACAGAGCTGAAAACAATTATGAAGTGAATCAATTGGGAGAAGTATTTAATCAGAAAAATGTGAATGCTAAGTGGGAATTGTTGAAAAACATTTTACGTGTTGCCCCAAAACCACAATCCCACAATTGAGAAAGAAGGCAACACTGGTTAAAAAAAAGACTCTGGCTTGTGAAAGAAGTGAAGACAACTGTGAAAAATAAGAAAACCATATATAACTTAAGAAAGGGGAAACTGATAATAATGAATGAGAAGTGAGAAACTGTAGAAAACTGATAAGGAAAGCCAAGAGCTGAAGACAATGTACGCAGTGCAAACCTGAAGCTGATGAGAAGCAATTTCTCAATATAAAAGGAATAAATATAGCTCTTCTGAAGTTGTTTGTGTTAGTCTGTCTCTGGATGGAGGCACTAGAACAGTCAACAGCAATAGAGGAAGGCGACGTTTGCCAACGTTTGTGGAGTTTTTGGCTGAGCCAGACCCTGGCAGGCCGGTCAGCGGGCGGCAGCTCTGGGCAGGCAGCTCTGAAGGCTGCCACAGCGCGCGGCGGGTGGGGATTTCAGCTGAACAAATACAGCGAATGCTAATTGACACAGACTTATGGAGAACAGGACTTGTCAGACAAAGACTCATCTTTTTTGTGAAATTACAAGTTTGATTGATAAAAATAATATTGGTGGTGTAATAGACTTAGACTTCTGCAAGGCAATTGCCTTGGTACTGTATGACATTTTGATTAAGAAACTAGAACAATACACAATCAACATGGCACATATTAAATAGATTAAAAGCTGGAGGGGTAACGTGTCTCAGAGGCAATTGCAAATGGGAACTCCTCACCCAGCAGGGGTGGATTTAGTGGAGTTCCCCAGGGGTCGGTTCTTGGCCCGATGCTATTCAACGTTTTTATCAATGATCTGAACAAATATTAAATCATCTGTAGTAAAGTTTGTTGATGACACAGAGATTGTGAGACTGGCAAATAGAGAAGAAGCCAGATCACTGAGACAGAATGGCCTGGGTTGCTGGTTAAACTGGGCATGAGCAGGTTGTCAATATCGCCAAATATAGTCACACATCTTGGAACAAGAACGCAGATCATGGGTCACGCATACAAGGCAGGATGCTCTGTCCTGGGAAGTGGTGGTTGTGAAACTCTGGGTGGTTTGGTAGAGTTGGGACTGCACCCTCCTCACATGTGAAGGTGCCCCAAAGGCTCAGCATGCCTGGAAGAGCTGGGGGGAAATCAGATGTTCAGACGAAATTCAGATGAAACTACATGCCCCTGCCTTTGGGTGCCTGTGCCAGCCAGCAGCTGGCTGCGGTGCTCAGCAGGAAATTGAGAGAATGGGAGAAGAGCCATGAAGATGGTAATAAAGAGAATTGACCTTGCAGTGAGAGGCCTTAAAAGCTCAATCTCATCTGCTAGCCAAAAAGCAGGCTGTGGGGTATACGGACCACGTCTGTTTTTCCACCGAAGACTCTCCAACACAGCAGAGTTTTACTACAATCTGATGTCCAGAAGCTGAAGCTAAGTGAACTGGAAGTAGTAATGTGGCACAGTATTACTGGCATACCAGCAAAGGTAATGAACCACTGCAAGAATTCACTTGGGCACTGTGGGAATCTCCATCATTAGCAGATGTTACATCATGCTTGGTTGCTTGCTGTGATTCGAGCAGGAGAAAATCAGGGCTCAGATTATACCTGGTAGCCAGAGCAGATAATCACAACGATATCTGCAGTCCTCATAGTTCAAGCAGCTCCAAAAAGGCACTTTGAAAAGAGTTTCATCACTATTGCTGACTGCCTGTATCTGCAGGTGGGACAAAGTCCTGCTGTTCCCTTTCAGCCACGCTCCACTGATAACAAAAGCTTCAACATAACATTTATTCTGGAGATGTTTGTCACACAAAATAAACAAACAAATAAGAATTCCTAGACCTGCAGTGATCTTTGGAGCCAAAAGAAGTGAATTAATGCAGCAGCTGAATTAAACCATGAAGCACAGCAGAAGTGACCTCTCTTCTTCCCCAGACTTGCCCCTTAGGAGCTCATGTGCTTTGAATTCGGTTGAGACGTGGTGACCTGATGGAACTGGCCCAGAGATGCTCAGGGTCTCCAACATCAGCATTTAGAGGAGAAAAACGGTCTGAAAGTATGAGCTCTGAATTTAGGAATGGATGGGCAGCTGGAAGGTGCACCTCGTGCTGAGCAAACTCTTCCCATCTCACACCAGGGTGACTGTAGCCTCTATCTTACTTTGCCATTTGCCGCTTTAATTGCTCTGGTTTTTCTTTCATTACTGCCCTTCTCCATCATTCTCCAAATTAACTTTTTTTTTTCCCCAAAAAATATCAAGCTTGTGTTCTTGACCATACTCCTTTAGAAAGAAAAATTTTCTTTTTTTTTTTTTTTTTTCGTTTTTTTTTTCCATTCAAGCATAACTCAGAAATGGGCTTCCTTGCAAAGCTTGGCTCTGTGTGCTCCTGTTTGAGCTCCAGCCTCCCCTGATCCCAAGGCTCTGTGCTGGGGTCAGCCTGCTCTGGCACTCCCACACCTGGCTGAGGAGCGCAGTTCTTCCTGCGTTAAGTATATGTCTAAAGTAGGGCAGATCATTCTGGGGCCGATGTTTGGGTCACAGTCACAATT